TCTCTACTCAACTCCACTCATTATTAATCTCCAGGATTGGCAGATGCATAGCAAGGGCAAAACCAAGCATGGCCCCAAACGTCAACACCCAAGGAGTTGCTCATTTTGTACTGACAAACCTGTCACACTGTCCAAACTTAGTTTTTCACCAAGAAAATATTATTTATCATGCTGTCCAACCCACAGTAAAAATAGGGAAATAAAAGTAAATGCAGCAACAATACTGGGTTATTGAAGACTCTCTTCTCCGTGGTTTGCTTTGGCCTCCTCTTCCTGCAGGACAGTGAGTCTACACATGTGTGGTGCTGACAAATGTACATAGGGAAGGTTGTGCAAGCTAGAGAAGGGATCTGTCCTGTGGTCAGGACAGAAGACCTGTGGTCCCAAGCAGAGCTCCCAACCCAGCCACAATAAAACACTCTTGGTCCCACGAAAGAAAACAGGAGAGACATTGGATTGGATCTTCCAGAAGGTCTTTGTTGCAATTTTCTCCATCATTGAAAAAAAAAAAAGTACATCATCAAATAAAGACAATAGCAGCACAGCTTATTGAAATGTTACAAGCAAATTTGCTTTTGTACTTTTCCTAAGAACATTACGAAATCCCCCTACATTGTTTTCTGTAAAATGCCTCTTTTAGAAAAGCACCATGAAATCCTACAGAGAGAAATAGGTAAAACACCTCCACACTTGAAGTTATTGTCAGTGTCATCACTGGTTCCTCTGCCTGTGACTCTGGGATGGGAAAGGGGCCAGAGGTTGGTTTGTGGGGTGGTTTGCAAATTACTTCTGGGTACCACTGCACCTTCTCCCTTTGGGCTTGCAGCTGGGATGGCAAGGAGAGGTTTTACAGTTGTCTCCTGGAGCTCAGGTCTGCTGGATTGATGGAGCGGGACAGGGCAGAGGGCTCTCAAGAAATTTTTTTAAACTGCACATGGGACTATTTGAGATTTTTTTTTTTTGCACTTAAGAACCAAGAACACACAAAGGAAAGTTCAAATCTGTAGCATCTTTGAAAACAATCACCTTCAATACCTGCGACACCTCTCACTGCTCCTTCATGCCACTCTACTGACCTACTCAGTGTGTTGGGAGAGCTGGGGTCTCCATACAGCACAGGCTAGGCAGGATGGTGAAGTTCAATGACACTGTCAGGCAAGGTCAGAGGGCAGGGTCTTATTTAGAGCCATGTAATTAGCATGCTGTACCAGAGTTCCCATGCACAGGACTCACAGCACCCACAATGCCAAATTAAAGTGACCTTTGTTTCAGAGAGCTACTGTTATTCTTTTGGAAGGTCATCAGTAACTGGCTCTTGTACTACATCACCAAAAACTCCCTCTTTTCACTGAGTTACCATCTTGCATACAATTGCATCATAACAGGGAGAACAAATAACCCTTACTTGAAACATTAGCAGGAAGAAGAGCTATGGAATGAGAGGTTGGCTTTTTTTCTTCTTTTACTTCTAGAGAGGCACTGGATGTTGTTTTTATTTGTTATCCTATGCTTGCTCACCAGCCATGGTACGCACCGAATGGTTCACACTCTTTCTCACCCAATCCAGTGAGTAACAACTTGCTCTGCTCAAACTCTGGCCACTTTCCCACTAATCCCCAAGACCCAGCATACAGATATGCAGCCTAGACTTAGCCAGGAAATGATATCATCTCAGAGGGAGGCAAAGAGGGTGGTTTGCTAATATTTAGCACAACTAGGACTTTCAAATGGCATGGTCCCCACAGAACCCAAAGCAGTCATTTCCTGTGTATGTGGGGTGGGGTGGGTAGACAGAAGAGTCTATCTAAAGCACATGAATTCATGAAGTAACCAAAGGGAACTTTTAGTATAACTGACTACAAATAGCAACAGCTTAAAATTCTTGAACTAGTCTTAACACCTTGCAAAAAATGCCCGCAATTGCATGAAGCCATCAGGGTGACAGTGTGCTAAGGATTCATCAGGGTAGGTAGAGAGAGCCTACACAAAGCAAGATTCTAATTTGGACACCAGTATGCGAAACCCATCTGGCCTTCATCAATCAACTAGAAAACAAATCCCAAAGGCCAGGAGTCAAAGCTCTCACCTTGATTTAAAACGGACAGGGGCCATCATTGGACATTCACCTATCCACCTTACAACTTTGATAAGTTGAATTAACCCCCACACCAGGGAATGTTTTATCAGAGAACTGAACAACTGAAAGTGTCCTTGACAACAGTCTATCTGTGCTCAGCTCCCTGGCTGTGCAGATGAGGTAACAGGGGTCTTGGCAGTGAAGGAATGTGCTCACTATCATGGGCTGTGACTGGCAGAACACAGGCAGTCCCAGTGACCTTAGTTATAGGCCAGGGACCCAACACTCACCCTCCCACATGCACACAAACATGTCCCTCCTCCTAAAGTGATAAATTCTTGGAATCACTATTGGGTTACAACTGGATATTGAGCTACAGTCTTTCCAAACTGTCCCTTGATTTTTCACCAGTAAACCTTCAGATGTGTTATGGAAGAAAAATTCAGTATTAAATTGCAAAAGACACTGCACACTGAAGATACCAAATATGATCTCTTTTCATGAGCAAAATTGAAAGGTTTGTTCCAAGTTTACGTGGAGATCAGAAAAGGGAGGAGGGAGAGCTGTGCTGACGCTTATACAGAAGATGTAGCAGGTCTGCCTTTTTACATGTGTGCTACGTGCCAGTTGGCCCCATCAAAAGAAGGTTAAGTAACCTCAAAACAACTGGCTGTCCCCCAGTCTTACCTTGGATATATTAAGAACCCAACCTCTTCACTCTTAGCTTCTCCTATGGAAAGTACATTTTAGTTTTCTAAACACTTTCCTCACATATTTAGCGGACCAGTCTCCATGGAGAGTCTTCTCTTTTACTCATCAGGGTCTTGGACTCATGTCAGAGATTTCCCCCTGTCCAGCCCAGCACTGTTTACAATGCTCTGCATCACTGTGATTGACTCTTTGGGGAAGCATCTATGCATACACCAACACACGCACCTGGTGCATTTGATAGCGTGTGTAGCTCAGTGCTCTGAACTGCTTTACTTCCTGCTGTATGCAGATTTCCTGCAAGTACATAAATAAAGTGCAAAAGAGTGCTCTCAAAGGGTATTTTGTTCACATCATGGGAAGGGCACCACATACAGCATTCCCAAAGCCAGAACAGTGTATAGTAGGTGTCTGTAAGGGCAGCCCTTCAGGCCATGTTCACACAAAGGCCTTATGCTCTCTTCATGATGAAGCGTCCCCACATCTTCTCCCTACCTCTGTAAACTGTGTCTACCAGGCTTGAAAGACAAACGCGCACACCCACAGGCACACAGATACACTCACAAGGGTGCAGGACATGGACACGGCAGCCATATTGAAAGCAGACTTTGGTCAGACTTTGAATAGCAGCTCCACCACCTTCTTGCTGTGTGCATTGGGTGAATCACTTCACTTCCCTGAGCCTCTGTGTCTGTATCAATATACAATAGCTTTGCAAATACTTCCTGTGTAGTGTATTGAGGTTTCAGTGAGCTAAGATCCATAAAGTGCCTACTCAGGTGCCTGGCCCATGGAAGACCCCCCAAAAAACGACAGGGAAGTTCCTTTGCCAGGTCTGGATGGAGGGTATAGACTTTTAACACATAGTACCATAAAGATGGTCCCAAGGTAATACAAGGTGAAAACCCTAATGAGTGAGATCTGTGGACAGTTTAATCACAAGTCCCAGTTACAGACCAATTCCTTAAAACACATTGTGCCAGGTTAAAATGATTCTCATAGTAAAAAGCAACATCTGCACCTGTATACCACACATCCCAGTTGTCTGTATAGTACTCTGTGCACACAGGATGTCCCAGTGAGCCAAGGCTCCAGATCAAAGAGGGAGCTTATCCAGACATACCTTGGGCAAGAAGGGCCTCCTCAAAGTTGAGTCTGATTCAACTCCTTCATAAAAGCAATGCCAAACTTTAACGAGAGCCTAAAGGTTCAGAGGCAGGGAGTGGGGAGTGGGGGGTTTCTGCATGTACTCCAGGCAGGAGACAGTGCGCATTGGGGGAAAATGGGCACAGGTAGGTCTCCCATGGTACCATTAGTCAAGGATTTGAAGAGCATAATTTTTCCTGGGAGTCAGAAAGCACTCAGTGGTTGCTGGAAGTCTACACTTGTGCTGTGGTCTTTGGGTAAATCCACTGTGGGGGTTAGTTATGTAAAATCTCATGAAATCGCCAAATGGTAGCACTGAGTCAGGAAGACCCTGCTGCTGCCAAGTCCAAATGCTTGAATGTGTGACCCAAATCACTAACTCTAAACCAGAACAACAGCCAAATGGACAAAGACTGAGGCACACACAGGATGATAGCCTAGTATATATTTTTCCCTTTCTGACAAAAAAAAAATTTAAATCATCATCCTTTCACTCCCCCCACTTTGTTTCACTGAAAATTCTAGCCTCACAGAACAATCCTAAGTATGACAGGTTGGTTACTACTTGCCTGAAGCCATTGCACAGAAGGGTATTTCAATTTTAGGGAATAACTGGTGTGAGCGAAAGAAGCAAGGAAAAGAAGGGATACTTCCAGAAGAGAGGAATGGCCAATATAAAAGTAAAATGAATTATTTTTACTATCTCTTTAAGTATTTTTTAAAATGGCACTAATGGCACATAAGCTGCAAGCAATAAAAACATTTCAATCTTACCGCACAAGGGTTGGTGGAGGGATTAACTTTGCTTCTGGCTGGAGATAGCAAGATTGTGTTTTATAACTATATATTCCCTAAGACACCCAAAGGGACAAAAAGCCCTGAGATGGAAAGATGCCACGGCCCTCCCTGGTATGTCTCAGAAATACAGGATGTCTATTATTGTAAAAATGTAGGGTCAGCTAGACAGAACAGCAAGCCACTGGCATTATGCAAGGCAATAGTTTTGGTAATTCTCCCCCCTCTTAAGAAAACAAGGTGTAACTGAAGTACCAGTAGAAAATTGAGCAGGGACATTTCAAAATCAGTTTATTTTCACCATTGCACCCACTGAGGAAAATGCATAATTTGCCTTTAACCATGCAGCGGTTGAGGTTGAGTTTTCTCCAGCGCTTGTACGTTCATCTGTACCACCTAACTCCATGAGAAAGACAAAACTCAGTAGGCTTCTGCCATTGGTCAAGGTAATATCCACAGTGTGATGTGTTTGTGATATTTTTTCTTTTGTGATGAGAAAAGCAATTTGCACCTTGAAATACGTGTGCTCTGATCTGCTTCCAGCAAATTCCAGATGCTTCTGGGTCCTGAGGACATTCACGTGGAGCTTTAAAAGACTAGGTATAACCCACTGAATGGTCTGTATCAAAATTCAAGCTCAGAGCACATGCCAAAATGTCACGTCTAATCCCAGTCACAGTCTCCAGTTCACCCCCAGTCAGGTCCCCTTTCTGTGTGCACACAGATGACTAACAGTAGGTTCAGGAAACACGACTCCACTTGAAAGACACACCTGGTCGTCTCCAGGAGGGAGGTCTGGTCTAAGTAATAGCTGCCCTTATCTACATGCCACACCAGGGTGGTGCAGCACAGGGACCCAGCGTCACTCCAGAACTCCCTTCACGTGGACAGCTATGACCCGCCACAGGTGCTAACACTCCCTGTTCTATCTTGCAGCTGCTGTCTGAAGTGTGATGCTCTTGTTCTTTGATTCCTTTTGGCAGAGCAAGCTTTCAGTCATTTATGGCACAGTGAAATATATTCTCCAATGCTATGTAATTTTGGACTAACAAGAAGTCTGTTTAAGGCACGTGTCTCAGTGTGAATATAAAAACAAACAAAAACAAAACAAAACAAATAACGCTAAGTTCAAGTCCACTGTCCTTAACATTTAGTTTCTGTCTTCAAGTAACGAGTTATTCTCGAGTTCCCTGTCTTTGGTGTCCGTGGGTACCACGCCGTTCTCCATCTCGTCGTGCTGCTGCACGCAGTCCGTCAGCATGGCCGTGCTGGAGTTGTCTGAGTTGCACATCTTCTCCGACTCCTCCTCTTTCTTCTCCTCATCCAGGGAGTAATTGCGGAAGGTCTTGTAGATTTTCTGGACGTCCTCGGGCAAGGTCTTTTTGAGGTCCTTGTTTTTCCTCTTGGTGAGTCTGGATGTGGAGCCAAACTTGTTGATGATGTTGTCCTCAGACGCGCCCTGGCCATGCTTGTTGAGCTGCTCCGACCCCTTAAGGCGCAGGTTGTTGGGCCGGTTGTTGATGCTCTCCTGGGACGAGGCCTTGAAGCGGCCTGTGTCCAAGGCAGCGAAAACAGAGCGCTTCTCTGGAGACAGCATGTCCAGGGAGTGGGCCCTCTGGTCCAGGCCCAGTCGCCTGCGCTCCATGCTGCGGATGGTGGCTGCCCGCTGCAGCTTGTCATGGATCTCGACGCTGAGCCGGCGCCGTGTCTCCCGGAACTCGGCCGTCACGTTGGCCTTCCACTCTGCTGCATGGGCCTTGATCTCCCCAACCTGGCCAAGAGACAGAAGAGCAACAGCATACTGAGAAACTCCTCTCTGCCTGGAGCCTTCCAGCACCCACAGCCCTTGGGTGTCCCAACAGGGAGGCCAGGGGTGTGCCCAAGAAGTGAACAAAACCCTGCTTCTACCTTAGGATGTCTTGACACCCAGATATCCATCTCAAACTGGCCAGTGACCGATGTGGCTCAGGTTACAACACAGCTCCAGGCTACTGGCTTGTCCTGGCTTAGGAAGATTCTCCAGGGTTACTTGGTAACCAAATCTCCCAGGTCGGGGGCAGGACAGGAGGCATGTTCTCTAACACCACAGAACATTCTTGCTTAGAGTGAAGTGTTGGCTGGGGATCAGCACCAAATTTCTTGGTTCTTAATCAACAGGGTAGACAGTACCCATGCTTCCCTGTACAGATGAGTACCTCGAGGTCTTTGCGTTTCAGAAAGTCAATGTTTCTCTTTCTTTCCCTTTTGTTAAAGCTGACTTTTCAGCAGGTCTGGGAGTTAGCTGGAAAATCAGGCTGGAAATTGTGTTGACAGAGTTTATATAAGGCAGGGAAATTAACTCATGGGCCCCAATAATGAAATAGGAAATGCCTCTGCTCAGTGACTTTCTCCTGGGACCTCAAATAGAAAATGAAGTAAACCACTACCCTCTGCTGTCTTCCTTGGCTTTTCTCATCTCCCTTCCTTTCTCTGGCTCTTTTTTCCCTCCGTCCCTTACCTTCTTGCCTCCTATTTTTCTCTTTCTAGAAAAAGCACAAAATCTCTCTCTCCTTCCTACATCTTCCTTTTTCTTGCCTCTGTGTGGCTTTTCATGTAAATTCCTGCAAGGGAGGAGACACTGCATGCCCCTGACCACAGGGACAGATTTGTCTCTATGGATCTGAAAACCAGGAAGGCATTTGGGTGAGGGAGTCCCCTTCAGTTCACTTGCACGTGGCTGGCCACCGTTTGGCAGCTTCAGCCTCAGAGGGAAGAGACAGAGGTGCCTGGAGGTCATTGCATTCCACACAGACCCCGAGACCTGAAGGCCAGGCAGGCTCTCCTGGGTTCTCTATGAGTTTTGCAAGCCTTTCATGTATTTGCTGGTAACAGGCAAGTGCACACCTCTCTCAGTCATGGCTACCCCTGCTGACTGTTTATTTTCCTTTTTAAAAATCAGTTATTGGCCGGCGCCACGGCTCAACAGGCTAATCCTCCGCCTAGCGGTGCCAGCACACAGGGTTCTAGTCCCGGTCAGGGTGCTGGATTCTGTCCCGGTTGCCCCTCTTCCAGGCCAGCTCTCTGCTATGTCCCAGGAGTGCAGTGGAGGATGGCCCAAGTGCTTGGGCCCTGCACCCCATGGGAGACCAGGATAGGCACCTGGCTCCTGCCTTCAGATCAGCACGGTGCACCGGCCGCAGCGCGCCGGCCGTGGTGGCCATTGGAGGGTGAACCAACGGCAAAGGAAGACCTTTCTCTCTGTCTCTCTCTCTCACTGTCCACTCTGTCTCTCAAAAAAAAAAATCAGTTATCGCCTACTTATCTTTCCAGGGTTTTATGGTCTGAAAAGTGAAATCGGCATACGTCCTCAGCTGCCAGAAAAGCCTCCAAGACATAAGAGCTATTCCATTCAACTTGGCTTTGAGGTAATGATTCCAAATGAGGAGGCTCCATGAGCCCTCTGAGGAGTCAGAGACTCTAGCCCATAGAACAGAGACAGGCAATGCTTGGCACAAGCTCATCCGATCCCAGGAGCATTCACAGAGTTTGGAAGGGAAGAGTCCTACCTCTTCTTTTGTCTTTTTGGATAGAACCCGTAGCCAATCTCCGATCATACTGAGGACAGCTGCAAAGTAGGCAAGGCCAACAAGGATCCAAAACCACACTAGGGGCTTATACCACTCCCGGTAATTGATGCCAGCGTTTCCCCCTGAAAACAACCAAATGTTACTTTAACCATGATCTAGCATTATGGTCTGTGCAGACAGCAAACGTATTCCAGCCTATTAGTGGAGATGCCATTCCTTAATACTCAGCCATTTGCCTGGCTGTATTCAAGATGTGACAGGGATTGGAGGGCAAGGAAAAGATGTGTCCTTCTAAGAGAGTTGAGCTTATGGATTAACTTCCCTGGAGTTTTGATTACTAATCCTAATTCCCAGAAAAACACATCAGACCCACTTTTTCTCAACCTGGGCATTGATGATATATGACCTTAAGCTAGAGGACCTTAGATCAGGCTCAGGAAACATGTTTTTTGTTAAGCTCCTCTAAAAAGCTAATATTGTTAAATCATTCCAAAAGGACTGGAACTCTTGGAACTATTTCCATCCTCGACACATATGCATTGGCCAAGAGAAAAGGGATACGTGCATATAATAATCAGCACAGTGGAATTATGTTGGTCCACACAATGGTGGCTTAATGCTGAATGCAGGATGGTTTTACATTAGGCTAATCCAAAAGGTCAGCTGGGCTGAGTAGTTAGTCTCACCATAAGTCAGACCAAAAGGGACCTTTAAGGCCCTCTCATCCAATCCTTTTATATTATAAATAGGGATTACAGCAAAAATCCATCAAACCAAATTGGCCAGTTGGCCTGACTGCATTGACTGGCTGTTCCTTGGAGAACACCTGTCATTTATTCCAAACAATTAGCCCATCTGTTCTAGCCTTCCTTTCAGCACTGCCGAAGGCTGGCGTGTAAAACAGGTTCCACGTCCACCCCATCCTCACAAAGAAGAAGCTGGGTAACTCCATGAAATAATGGACATCAGCCTTGTCCTCACCCTGAGAGACACGGCTGCCCAATGAAGCAGACAGGGGCCATTTCAAAGAAGACCCACATTACCAATGCACTGGCGTTAGGGTATTTCATGATGAGTGATGAGGAGGTTTTCCCACTGGGTCGTGGTACCACTGAATACATACTGAGCCCTTCCAGAATCAACAGTATCGTGCAAAGCCAGCTAGGCAGACACTGCGGCCTGTGGCCGTTCTCAACACAGCTGAGTCCGCTCAGCAACACTGCTCCTGAGGTTTGGCAGCTCCTGCCACTTCTGACAGAATCCCCAACATTGCCAGAGGGCTCCTTGTCAAGTCCCCTTTGTTGGGTTTAGCCACCTTGATATTTTTCCCTTTAGGCAACTCTCCCCTGCAGCTTTTTCTAGGATACAATTGTAGTTCCAGCGACTCTGAGTGGTGTTTGAGGTTCACTTGGATTCTGTGCCCAGCCAGAGAAACCTACAGCTTTTTCTTTTGGGCAGAGAGTAACTATTTGCCTGAGCAAGTCACTATCACCCAGCTAAGATTGCCACTAGGGTGCGCCAGTGAACAACGCAGCAAACACCCTCCTGCGTGTCCCCGGATCAGCTGCTGGTCTGGAATGCGGAGCTCTGCATGTGCCCTCAGTCAGGGTTGCAAAACCTTGCAATGTTGTCAGGCTGTGCTAAAGCAGGCCAACTACAAAATAAACCAGCCATCAGGCTTGGGTGGTCGACGTTCTGATTATATTTCTAGCAGAGCTGATACCATGTCAGATCACAGCAACCGTCAATTCTTGTTCACGGGTTTTTTTTTGTTTTGTTTTTAACGATTGAGCAGCCTTCCCTACTGCATGGTCCTCCATATCCATGGATTCCACTTTCGCAGATTCACCCAACATCAGATAGAAAATATTCAGGGGAGAAAGACTGTCTGCCCTGAATACGTACAGATGCTTTTTCTTGTCATTATTCCTTACATAATACTGTATAACAACTATTTACGTAGCATTTGCATTGTATTAGATATTATAAGTGAGTCAGAGATTAAAGTATAGAGGAAGATGTGCTTGTATTATATGCGAACAATATGCCATTTAAATAAGGGACTTGACCATCTGCAGACTTGAGTATCTGCAGGGCCGTGTAATCCAACCTCTGTAGATATCATTGGACAACTCATTATTACCAAAAGGTAATGACAAACTTCCAGCATTCTCCAAAGCTAGAGCTTAGCAGGGCCTGTTCTAACTGCCATCAGCACTGTGAACTGTAAGAGACCTTGGTCCATGGAAACCTCAGGGCAAAGGAAATGTGGTTCAATAATCACTGTAAGAAAGGACACGAAAAAATATGACTGCCTGAGGCTCTGGAGGTCCTGGCTCCCTGGGTAAGTAAAGGTAAGGCAACGCAACAATCTACACTAGGTGGCTGATACTTAAAAAGCAGAAGTGAGCTCTTTTTGATCTCATACTCCCAAGCTTTGCTATCTGTGCCCCCAGCGTAGCGGAGGGAACTGGACAGCAGGGATGGTCACAAGGGTTTGACAGTGGATGGTCCTTGGGGCAACCCAGGACTGCACAGGGTGCTCTGAAGCATAGCCCACTGCAAGGTATGCTCCGGGGTGCTTGAAATGTTCATGAAATAGTCCTCACCTCCAGCTGCTGATACCTGTACACACCTTAGTTTGGAATCTCAGCTGAGTTTTCCCATAGACCAGGTATAGATGCTGATATAGAATTAATGGGAATATACCGATGTGTCTTCTTCCTACTTCTCCCAGTTTCTCTATCTGGTTTCTTACCAGAGCCTGAGGCCTCTACTCAGGCAGCCATCATTGAATGCTGGGCAGAAGGAAGATAATGGGGTCCCACGGCCCAGGCTATCTGTAAGCAATTTTTGATCAGTTTGATTTTGCAATTCTTGGTCCTCAGTCAGTAAACAAGACAGAAAAACAAACCACTACTCTTTCTACAAAAGGGATTTCAACCTTCACCTTCACTTTGAAATAGCTACAAACCTACTGTGTCAGTTGTCTGTCTTGCAGAATTAACAAGGAGTCACCCATGCACCTGCTGATGAGTATGCAACATCTCTTCCAGAACTACCTGTTCACCAAATTCCCACAGTCCAGATCGCCATCTCTCCATCCAAGGTACCCCATGGAGAAACTGAGGCACCTCTGTGATCACACACCCAGCGAAGGGTGGTCTCCTGAGAGCCCAGCCTCTAAATGACCAGGCTGCTGCTTAACGTTTCTGAACTCATGATAGAGCTGTTTGATCAATGTGCTCACTTTCCAGAGAGAAAATGGTCGGCTACCTGAACACCTAGGGGGATCTCTTAGGAAAAGAGAAGGATGGCCTCCTCTTTCTATCCCTGCCTTTCCGCTTCCCTTAGGAGACAGCTACACATATGAAGCCAAATCTCATTTTCAAGCTCCCTGTCCATAGGTGAAACTGAGATTTCTGTCACTTCCTTAAACAGAGCTCATTGACGTTTTTCCAATGAAGGCTACCATCTATGTACCTTCATGCAGAATCCAATAGATTATATTCCTTCTGGGCAGTTCTCAGCTCCCAGAAGTCTCCAAAGAACTAAGTCTTGTGTCCATGCATACCCAGGACAAGTCTTGCAGGGACAATGGCTCTCACCTTGGCATCAGGAAGTTAAACTTGCAGGCCTCTGCAGGCCAGTCTCCATGCTAATCTCTCCCAAGTTTCATATTTGCCACCTGCTCATTTTGCTTTTTATCAGTTGATTCAAGGAGGCTTAATACAATTCAGAAGTCCAAGATTCACTAGGAAATTTATCTCACTCTTGCATAATTCATGGGATGATAAGGGCATAAGCATCCTGAGGAAAAAGGGGTGGCTTTCCTTTTATGGCAGGAAAAAAAAAAACTGCTGCTGGGACTAGGGGTTTGAAATGAGCCCAGGCATGGCAGCGATGACACTGAATTATTTTTATTTGCTTCTCCCACAGCATCTTTCATTTTGAAAGCACAAACGATAGATTTACTTTCCCCACCAGGGCCCCAGTGACTGGGGATGCTGTGAGTACTCACCTGCCACAAAATCACCAAAGCCCACTGTAGTCAGAGTGACCACTACAAAGTAAATGGACTCCAAGGCTGTCCATCCCTCGATGTATTTAAAAATGACAGCGGGGATCGTCACAAACACAATGCAGCCGGCCAAGATGAACAGGATGGTTGAGATGACCCGGATCTTGGTCTGACTTACTTGCTTTTTCTAGGAAACAGTAAAGGAGAAAGACAAACAGGCACATCAGTGGAATCCCCCTCGGTTCACAAGGCAGAGGCAAAGAAAAAAGTATTAGGTCTATGACTTTTAATCTCTCTTCAGTCACAGGCTGCTATCTGGATATTTGATGAAAGTTGTCGACTCCTAGAAAAAAATGCACATACAGATGTTTTCAGGTGGTGAAGGAGGTTCCCAGGCCCCTCTAAACTTACTCATGGACACCAGGTCTAGAAACCCTTGCTTAGCTCATGCTTTAAATGTCCCCTGCATGGTTGCATGACTGCAGCCCAAATACTGCATCTAATATCCTCACCAGTACAATCCTAGTGGTTTCCCAAGAAGAGTTTGCTGCCAGGTTTCATGGAGTCTAACCCAAGTTTGCAGGGAGCTCTTTCCACAGTGATGGATCTGTACCTAGTTTCCCTCGTGTCAAAGAGAATACGTTGGAAAAAGAACAACTTAAGTCAGGCCAGAATGTCTGGATGAAAAGAAAGACTCTCACATCCTCATTTGGGACAGACTCCAGCCCAGCATCCCCGTATATCTTCATCTGCCTTCCCCCCCCCCCCCCACCCGCTGAGGTAGTGCATTCAGAAATGCTTTTGTTTGAAAACACACTTGTTTGAGCTTGTGCTGTGGTCATCGAGTTTGTTGGCTGTGTTACCCACAGGAGAAAGGTCAGGACTCAGAAGGGCAGGGTCTAAATGGGTAGAAAGACCTTCATCTCATTCCAGCATCTGAAGGAATCAGGAGTTAGGCAATGAAAATGCAGTTAGAACAGGAATTAGACCAATACTGGGCCAAAGGAATCATGCCACTGGAGTCTAGAAGTGGACAGGTGGCATCCTTGGTATTCCCCTTGAATGCACTACAGGCAACACTGGCATTGCTTCCAAGCAGAATAATTCTTCAAGTCTCAAAACTCCCAGAGTTGGCAGTGGAGACTCATCAAGAGGTCCTGGTACCAAACACTGGCATAAACATATCAACTATGTGTTTAACACCAGAGCGCATGGCCTTTCTGCATTACCTATCACAATTTTCGGCAAAAATTCAACACATTTGGGGAAACTGGTACAGGAAATCCTTACCATGCCATGCTTCCTGTTCACTGCCTTCTGGTAAGAATCTCAAAGTAAAGACAGACCTTTGCCTTCCTGTACTTTGTTTTGCAGATGCCAGACAGATGCCGGAGGGGTGGAGGGACTTGCTAAGATAATGCTGCTAATTAGAGGCAGAGCCAAGATTAGAATTCTGGCACCATTAACTCTCAGTTCTGTGCTCTCAGGTCACTCAACAATTCACCAGCCCAAAGAAAGCTGCCCAACAAAGTTGTCTTCCCCAAGCAAAAGACCCAAGACTGACTCCCACCAAAGAAGAGGTCACGCTGTGTCCCTTCTGAGAAGACTGCACAGAGAAAGTAGTCACTGGGCAATCTGTCCATGAAAAGCTGAAGAAAGATGGACCTTCCTAATAAAGAAGGAGCCACGTGCCCTAACTCCTGAGCGATTATTCAGTCTATAAAGCAGGAACGGGGGAAATAAGTCCACCTATGACCTTGTATAGTCCCCTCTCCACATCCTTAGACAAGCCATCTGAACAAGATTACAATCTCAATAGAGATTGTTGAAACTGCCTATGAAAATACCAATTATTTTGCACACATGAAAGTATCATGACAAGATAAATTACTGCAGAACTATAGGAACTGTTTTGCCTGTGTCATGAATTTCCATGATGGATGATGCTTGGAGGACTTTTTTGGGCGGGGGGTCACTGAGCTCTCCAGAGAACCCAGGAACTTATTAGCCTCATTTTCTCTCTGGACATGTACAAAAGTCCAAAGCCCAAAAGGAGATCTTGCCATAGATCATTAAGTTAACCAAGTCGCTGGCAATGGACACATCATTCCACCCCCCCCCAATCATCCTCCTCAAATGCATTATGAAATTAAAGTGAATTAAATGTTTGTGAGACGCTTGTTAAGTCATAAATTAGGATGCAAATGCAACTGCAATTTAAATGAGGTTGAGGTTGGCAGAGAAGGACTGTGAGTGTGGGGGAAGCTGGAGACAGGCCCAGGCTTTGGGAAGTGGGCAGAAGGAAGACAGCAAAGGACATGAGTGGATTTGTCTGGTGGCTGAGAAGGTGCATAACCAAAGTGAGATGCTGGCATCCTAATCGCATTATCTACAGGAGAGTTTATCGGCATGATAAAGGTCTCACCTCTGCCCATTGCCCAAGCCACCTCACGTGTTCCCAGCTGCTTCTCCCAGACATCCGCTATGCTCAGAGAACATTTGGAGCACTGAATTCTCAGGGTATTTTAGGACCGAGAGAAGTAAGTGTCTGCATGTGTATGTGAGTAGGTGTATGAAAATATATGTATGCTCATATTCACTATAAAAAGAAGAGGTGTAGGCGTAAGGTTTAGGCAAGATCTGTTATTCTGGATACTCATGTTTGTGCTACCCTCTAGATATTCTTTTTTAAAATAAGTTTCCTTAATTGAGAATTTTAAACTGTGGCTTTCACGCTATAGCCACAAACCACCTGACATGTCACGTGGCGATCTTCAGGCTTCCTGTCCTCATTCACACTGCAATCATTCGTTCTTTCTGTAAAACGAGGTTCAAGAACATAGGGCCTAGGAGCACAGTGCCCAAAACACATCCCATCCCTCCTGCCAAAGGGCTGAGTGTGCTAGGGAGAGCTCCTCACCTCTCTGTGCAGCAGTTCCTTCTGTATTAGCTGGAGACAAGAGAACCCACCTCATCGGTTTGCTGGGAAGATTAAATAAGCGTGTAAGTGCTTAGCACAGTGCCTTGTAAGTGCTCGGTGATGGTGAATAGGCACTTGTAATGTACAAGTTCAAATCTTTCCTTAGATGCAGGCAGTCCCAGTTGTAATGTTTCCTTATGGTTAAAGAATGGTCCCTCCTATCTGGTTTAAGAGCATTGTTGTTTAGCCTCAGGAGGTCACTGTTGGTTTTTGCTTCCCGGACTCATAGAATTATCTCATTTTCAAAAAAATCCTAATTCCTCCCTTCTTCTGTTGCAAACTCTGAATTCACTCTCAGTCTAAGCTCATGAACTTGGAATCTTTTCTATTTGCTTTTTCAATTCGTTTCTCCCGCAGTTTTCATCATCCTCTGAAATGACCAAGAAGTTCAGATATTGTTGGCAATGTCAGGAACCAGCTGCAGAAGGGCCCTGAGAGGCAAGGACCTCGCCATCTCTATATCCCCCCACAGCCCTCTCACCCACAGAATGGAGCTGCGTTTCCACGGAGGGGTTGCTAGGCAAAATTGTGTTGCTTACTTACCAGAAAGCAGAGGAGCTAGCAGAAGGCTTTGTGAGTGCCCAGATCTAACTGAGTCAATGTGGCTTTTGGCTAGAAACAGTATCATCTGGGGAGAGATGGTTTGATAGGATGTTTGGGCAGGAGCAATGTGGTGGTTGTATATTTCTACCCAGATCTTGTTTTCACACTGTATTGATTGGTTAGAATAGACAAGGTATCCTTCCTTTCTCCTTACATCAACAGTACTGTGCAAAACTATCTCCCACTTCTGACCTGCAGGCTATAGGAATTTTTGAAGAACTCATTACCCAGCTCCTGTCAAGTTCACTTAGCTGTCAAAATTGTATGTGCAATTATTCCAAAGCACCAAATAAGCTTCATACAGGGTGGGGGGAGGGGTAGCCAGAGTGAGAGTACTCCTTTGAGAAGGGGGATGGGCGTGCTGACAATTCTTGAAGTGTTTACTTGCATCAGACCTCAGAGAATGAAGCCACAGGTCCAGTTCTCATTAAGCACAATCCCATTTTTGTTTACTTCCCCAAGGTTATCTTAGAGAGCAAGTACAACCCTATTCATCTGTGGGATCTTTTTTTTTTTCATTTGATTTTTACATGTCTCCCTTCCCCCTAAAATCTCTGTTACTTAGGATCCTGAGATAAAAAACATAGGTTGTTTTGTCTGCCAGGAAATCGTTTTGCGGTGTGATTTTTTAAAGGTAGGATGTCAGGGATTTTATTCAATAAGAAAGGTACCACAATAAAAATCCTAGGACAGGAGCTGGATATGTGGTCTGGTTTATGGTTTGGTTTGGTTGAAATGCAAACACATCACCATGGTAATACAATTGAACTGAGGATAATTTCTCAAAATGGAAGGATAATAGGAACTGCCTTGCAAAGGGAATGGTTTTACTTTGTTAGATTATGGTTTCTTCAATTTCTTTTTAAAGGTGTGCTTATAACTAATACTTCCAACATCACAATGAAGCACCAGTAGTTCTAAAACCTGTGAGCCGAGTTTGTAAACATCACGTGCCTATAATCTCCAAGGCAGAGACATTCTAAACACACATTAATGAGTTAATGAGAATGGTAAGATCTCTATGTAGACTATTAAAAATGCTTTACTCAAAAAGCTGAGTACGCAAACAGATCATACACACACACACACACACACACAGTTCCATCCAGCATCTCTGAGCCACATTGTAACAATGTGACAGATTGGCCAGTTCATGTTTTGTGGGTTTCACCATGGGAGGTTTGTGTTAAAGATTTTGGTTTATACAATTAAAGTATTTTATCACCAGACTGCCAATGTACAAATAGCTGGGATGCAGAAAAAATAAAATCCACAAATAATAAAAATTCTTAGTGAGTGATTCTACTCCAGGAAGACTTTTAAACATTTTATTTTCATTTATTTGTAAGGCAGAGAGACACAGACAGATCTCCCTTCCACTAGTTCATTCCTCAAATGCCCATAACAATCAGTTAAAGTACTTGGGTCCCTGCTGCCCATGTGGGAGACCCAGCTCTATCACCTGCTACCTCTCAAGGTGCGCCTGTGGCAGGAAGTTAGATCAGAAGTAGAGACAGAACTCAAACACAGGCACTATGATATGGGATCCAGGCATCCTAAGCAGCAGCAAACACCTGCCCCTCCAGGAAGACTTTAATTAAAAT